ATTTCATGAACGGTGAAATAATCTATATTTAGCCAAGCTTGATAATAATTATTATTACAGTCTTAAATGTACAAAAACATACAGTGTAATCGCACAGAAATTAGAGTAAAAACAGTGTTGAAACAATTGAGAGTAAAACTGTTGTTTTGGGAAGTAACTTTGTTGTTATGTTTGGCCCAGTCATCTATCAAGGGTTTACAGGTAATGTGAGAGAAGCTGTCATGGTAATATCGCTTCAGTGCTTCCCTATCAACAACGCTGTAATCATCAACATGCTGAAGGAGGCACACCGGCATCATGGGACAGAGTGTCCCTAGATGGAGCTCTGGGAATCATAAACACCTCCTCTGCTTATTAAATATCTGCTGCTGCGCATGAAAGAGGCCGTGCCCAGGGTTAATATCTTATGATATAACTACATGTGCTGGACCTGCAGCGTTCCAGTATTTTTTTAAATTATGAAGCATATGATATGAGGCAGATTTCTAGTTGCTGACAATATTTTTTTGAAATTGTAAATACTTATTTAATTGGCTGGCTAATACAGCTTTTTCAATATAGCTTATATATAGGGTTTTTATAGGGCAACTAGCTGAAATAAAAAGAAAAGTTTCTTATTAACTTCTTATTAACCCTAAAAAGGGCAAAGCCATAAAAGAGACGTCAGAAAATAATTGTATTGCTATTTTCCATCGTATTGGGACTCAATACAATTTCATGTTTTTTTCAAAACTTGACTCTTATTTTTGATTTTAATGTTTGTATTGATATGTCGCCCCTATAAATTCACTGAAAACAGAAAACTTATTTATCAATGCTTGTTACAACATGGTTGTAATTCCTGAACGCTTTGGAATACAGACCTAAGGTGGGTCTTTTTTTAAAGAACACACTTAGCAGATTATTGCTGAAGTGAAAGCATTTCATAAAAAGAATATTAAAAAGTTATAAAAGTTTAAGTTTACAGTAAAGGTAATGTAGTATAAAATTTTTATTATATTTTATATAAAATAAAAATTTTATAAAATATGTTGCACTCTAAAATTGCTATAAAATCAAAGCCATATGTCTAACCAAGTTATGTTCCAAATTTGAAGTTGATATTAGACCGATATGGTTTTTTTGGGGCCGATACCGATATTAGGGAGTAAAAAAAGGCCGATATCGATATATCGGACGATATTCTTTGTGTATATTATAGTACAGTACCAGTCAAAAGTTTGGATACTTTCCCATTCCAGGGTCCAAACATTTGACTGGTACTATATATAGAATACAGTATATACATTAACAGAATATATATACATAAACACATTTTTTGCAATGATCACTCAAATGTGGTGATCAAACACTTGCATAATCACGTGACAGAGATATGTAATGATGGAGGCAGGAGTAACAATTTAACAATAAACTTTATTATCCAAAATGAGTCTGACATCAGTGTACTGAACAGTAAAGTTGAAGTTTATTCAACTTTAATTCAATTAAATTCCATTCAACTTTATTCCTTTGAAGTTTATTTCACTTCGGAACATTCATTCACGGATTTGCACTACTGTCTTCACACACAGACAAAACTTACTAGAGAAGTGTGAAGTGTGACATACCTCTGTAAATAAATACAATATAAATTCACGTCTCGCGCACTTTAATGCCCTTTGAATGTAACGTTTACGTTCCCTTGGAACTGGAATCATGGCGGAATTTCATGTGAAGTCCACTTCGCAGGGCACTTACGGTCGAATAATACAACGCTTGAATGCTGCTGCACCTGAACAAGAGACCTCCTTGCTGAAGGGAAAGTGTTGACTGGTATCACTATCTCGTGAACGCGCCGGCGGATCTCCACCAAATTCTGGGGATCCCTTCAGCTCGAGGAGCCCTCTCGAACTTCACCCTCCGCGCGTCGGTAGCCCCCCCGGGATCGCTTGATCGGTCGGCGCCGGACCGCGAATTTAACCACCCGTAACTCCCGAACCCCGGGGGCTATTCACGCGGGGGTGGTCTCATTCGAAAGAGGGCCTCGAGACGTACACTCGAGTCGCTTTCGAGAGGGTTCCTCGTGGACAAACTAAGTAATTACACCATTTCAAGCACTTTATCTGCGTTATATGTTCTGTAAAAAACATTTTCATATCAGCGGCATATTCAGCGATACCGATATATCGGCCGATAATATCAGCAAAACGATATATCGGTCGGGCTCTAATTTCAAATAAATGCTTTTTTATGCAGTTTTCTGTCTCAAATCAATAATTTTCTGTCACAGTATCACTTCTATTACGAAACAGTTACCAAATATGAAACATTGACTGTCAGACCTTTCCAACAATATGTGTTTTGTCAAGATTACAAAAAGATTTGATTTTCTAAAACACAAGCCACAAAATCACAGAGTATATATATATATATATATATATATATATATATATATGTTTTTATATCTTTATTTTTTTACCCCTAAAAGGGCAACGTATCCCCTGAGATACAAACATTTAGAGACAGATTACAAAAATGTAAGCATGTAATTCATAAAATTTCAATGTAAACCTAAAAAGCTAATGCTGAACAACAGCTTTTTAAACAGGTAAGTCCCCGCCAACATGTGTAAATATGTGAACTAGATCAACTTTTATCAGAGGGAGAGTAGATTTCCCACTACAGGCGGCCATGCAGCTTTAAATGCTTCCAGTGAGCTAAACAAAGAATGTAGAAACAAAGTCACCTCATCTAAATATTCACAACAAACAGCCTTTCAAAATGAAACCAGGAAATGAGACATACACTTTCACTGCTTCTCCCCACAGCTTCTCAAATGTTTGTATCCCCCAGGATACGTTGCCCCTTTTAGGGTTTAGGTTTTTTATATGGTTTTAATTTTACTTTCAGTTTTAGTGAAAACCCTTGTACACAATGTTGTAATTGGATCATGTTATGTATTGCACATGTATTATTTATTTATAAATGTTCTCTTTTTTTTTTTTTTAGTGGGCCGGAGGTGTCTTTTAGATTTGATTATGAATATAACATTCGTACATTTTTGTGATGGTGGTTGCTGTCAGTTGCTGCCAAAAACAAGTCATGTGGTAACATGATAATAACTTGTTTATTGTTAAACTCGCCTACACAATTCACAGACTGTAATTTAATAGGCACACACCAATATTTTTGTTGCCTTTGTCTTGTTCATGCATATTTAGGCTATTAAACCTGGATTTAGTGAAACAGTAAAAATAAAATAAAAAATGTTCGGTGTTGCTGCATGCAGCAAGATGCCATCATTGCTCAAGATTTATTGTTCTTTGTTAGCACATCTTAGTACAAGTTAGTACATCTTCACCTTACCCTGACACTCTCTCACACTTTCTGTGTGTTTCAGAGTCAGTGTATGACCTGCTCCCTAAAGAGCTGCAGTTGCCCTCGGTCGTACAGCAGGACAAGCCCACCATGAGCCAGAAGAGCGGTGGAGAGGCCGGACCTCCTCCTCCGGCTGCCCTGGCCTCAGGTAGGACACTTTTCACATCGCTCCTTCCTTCACTGTCTTATTTTACTCATGTTTTGTTCAAGCTAGAAAGACTCTCCTAATCGGTTTCGCTCAGTCCTGTGTGCGTGATGTTCGGGTGACTTCCTGCTTAACTTTTTCTGATTTTTGTGTTTTTGGATCTTTACTAAACTTTTCTGTTTAGTGGTGTGGTGTTTTAATTTTTTTTCCGTCTCAGCATTTGGGTTTGTACTCTTTCCTTTCTAGTGCTGCTGAACTGTGCTTCCTGTTTCACTTGATATCACACTTTTTTAAAACCCATCTGCAAGTCCTGACATTTCTAGTTGTTACTTTTCTTCACAGTTTTTTTTTCTTTCTCTCATTTGGCTGTTTAGATCATGTCAGATTATTTTGCAGACTAACTCATTTCAAGTGTCTTTCTTGACCTGTCCCATTAAACCAGTTAAAAAGAGCTTCCTGTTATTGCTGTCAGTGGGGTAGAGTGATTTTCTGACTTTTCTCAGATCATGTTCTGGCGTCTGGAGAGCATGTTATGGTTGAGCCAGTCAAGGCGATATTAACAGCACTTACTGGCTGGCAGTGGTCCTTAGCGCATTAGGTAACATCTTGGAAAAAAAAAAATCATAAGTTATTTTACATCTTTGTCTACAATTATATTGGCATTAGGCCTAATTTAAGGCTTTTCGCTTAACCCTTTTGCTTCTTTTTTGGAGGCCTTTGCTTCTCTCAGCTAATGATACAATTACTTTTAATCGGAGTAGGGCTGGGCAATATAGCAAAAAAAACCAAAAAACACATTAAATCTGTTTTTATATATGAATACTTCAAACTTGTTTATGTATTCATTTGCTCGTAAAAAACACTTTTCCCAGCATTGTCAAATCAAATGCAATAAAAAGTAGTTCAATATGATCATGAACTGTTTTACACAATGTTTTTTATTAATTGAATTTAAAAGAGAATGTTTAATAATTTCTGTTTACATGCACCAATACAAGAATACATATTCACAGCATGATGCATAATAAATGCCAGTATTTAAAGTTGAGATGACATCATAGGTGAGCCTATTTATTTTCTTAAAAATGTATGAAAATGATATTTTATGAAAATGCTTTGACTTCATAATCTTTAATCTAAAAAATATAATTTTTACTTGACAATTCACTTCGGTTTTATGCCGACATCAAAATATATATTAAAACATTTGGCACATGAAAAGTCCAGTGCCACACAAGGATGTCTGTGAATATTCTAGAGCGATGACATAAACAAATAATTTAGATTAATTTCAATTAATTTGCAGAAATCACACTGTTGTGATTTCTGGTACTCAGTTTAAATTAGAGACATTATTAAAATATCTTGTTTTATTGCTTTACGCGTTTAAAGTCACTTTGACATTTACAACTTTGCTTCGGTCAACAAAATAATATCAAATATATCGCCCAGTCCTAATTAAAAGGCAATACTGTGATTGCAAATATGCTTGCAAGTAGCCAGGTTAACATTACACTACTTCCTGTTTTGACAGGAAGCTGAGGGATCTTTAAGTGAAGCAGCCCAGACAAATATCAGTGTTTTTGCAGCAATAAATTTGAGGTAAAACAATCAACCAAAACCAAATCCACCACCAAATTAGGACTGTGAAAAAAACAATTATTGATTCTGTACAAAAACTGGCCCATGAAATTTGTCATCTTAAAAAAAAAAACAGATGTTTTTATGAATATGATTTTTTGCTCAAATGATTCTGACCAAAATTTGCTGATATCTACATTGGATGACCAGCACTTATTGTTTATTCGCTGTCATTTGTCGTTTTTATTCCAGGGAGTTCCCTCTGAATCAGGGAGAGTCTGCATATAAAATGGTCTGCAGTTCTCTGCTTCGTAGGTCAGAAGCTTGTTTATTCTGTCTCCATGGCTACGTTCAGTCCCAACCAAATCGTCCAATTGGCATGCATTAGTCGACACCTCAGAATTGTCATTGTGCAATATTATTTGTCTATGAGAGGCTGTTTTGAATAGATCAGCTCTGGGTTATCAACCAGTACCACACCAATTCGCCCAATTGGCATGCATTAGTCTCAGAGTTATCATTGGCCAATGTAATTTGGCTTTTTTAAAATAGATCATCACTGGGTTATGCAGAAGTGACAACAAATGCTCTGTATACCGCTTACGCATGTTTATTTTTTGCTTTTTTGTGATAGGACTAGTTATTGGGCCATTATTGAGATTCTACAAAATGTTCCAAAGAAGAATTAATATTCATTTAAGAAAGAAATAGGGGATTGGATAATGCATCAGCTTAATTAGGCCTACATCAATTAACGATTTCATATTAACAAGACATTCAAAACAGATAAAGGGCAATGACCAGATATCATGTCGAGTTTCACTGCTTGATCGGGACTGCTAGCCAGATTTGCACGGACAGGTTTTATTAACGTTCTGCATTGTACACACTACAGATGCTGCTGCCACTTGCGCCGCTGCCTCCTCCCCTGGAGGACTCAGCAGTACACTTCCTTCCTGTCCCAGCATGCTCTCTGCTACCTCAGCCCCAGAGCAGGCTTCCAGGCTCCACAGCGGTCCTGCCGCAGAGGGGATGCCAGAGAGGAAGGGTGTGGAGCCTGGATCAGTGGTGGCTATCAGTGCGCTAGATACTGTCGGAGCCACACAGAGCCAGGCGACCCCTTCAAAGCGGCGGACCGTCCTGAGCATCTCGCCCCCTCCGGAGGACCTGCTGGACGACAGTCGCATGTCCTGCCAGGATGATGTGCTTCCCAACCAGGACTCGGAGCAGAGTAGCAGTATGTGGATGGACGACTCCGTGTCCAACTTTAGCATGGGCAGCAGCAATTCATACAACGACAATACTGAAGTGCCCAGAAAGTCTCGCAAGAGAACTCCTCGCCAGCGGCCGGGGCCAAAGCCTGCGGCCCGGGAAGAAGCCGGCATGGATGTGTTTGATGCAGACAGCGCTAAAGCGCCACACTTTGTTCTTTCACAACTGGGTTCAGACGCCAAAGTCACACCCAAAGTGAGGTTGGTGACCTTACTTGTTGTCATTTTTACCTCAAAAATTTCAAAATGAGGTTTGATGTAGAATTTAAAGGATTAGTTCACTTCCAGAATAAAAAAAAAGTATGATAATTTACTCACCCTCATGTCATCAAAGACGTTCATGTCTTTCTTCAGTTGCAAAGAAATTAAGGTTTTTGAGGAAAACATTCCAGGATTTTTCTCCATATAGTGGACTTCAAACAGGGACCTACGGGTTGAAGGACAAATTGCACTTTCAATGCAGCTTCAAAGGGCTCTACACGATCCCAGCTGAGGAATAAGGGTCTTATCTAGCGAAACAATCTGTAATTTTCTAAAAAAAATTTAAATTTATATACTTTTTAACCACAAATGCTAATCTTGCACTAGCTGCACAATGCACATCCGCAACTTGACGCATTACGTGATCACGTTGGAAAGGTCACGCATGGTTAGTTCTTTGTCTGTGTACTCCGGTTCAAAAAGGTGGAGCAGCAACTTCTCCAACATCAAAATCGTCCGACATCTTTGTTTTACCTTTTTTGTAAAGGGCGTTTGACTTTCTTTGCACGTTTGCTTTGTAAACAATGGGTCTGTACTTCCCTCTACGTCACACGTGACCTTTCCAACGTAATAACGTAATGCATGAAGTCCAGCTAGTGCAAGATGAGCATTTGTGGTTAAAAAAAGTATATAAATGTACATTCTTTTTTGTAGAAAATCACAGATCGTTTTGCTATATAAGACTCTTATTCCTTGGCTGGGATCGTGCAGAGCCCTTTAAAGCTGCGCTGAAACGGAAATTTGGACCTTCAACCCATTGGCTCCCATTGAAGTCCACTATATGGAGAAAAATCCTGGAATGTTTTCCTCCAAAACCTTAATTTCTTTGCAACTGAAGAAAGAAAGACATGAACATCGTGGATGACATGGGGGTGATTAAATTGTCAGGACATTTTAATTCAGGAGTGAACTAATCCTTTAAAAACACGTCACGGAAGACGAGTCACTGTATGTGTATGTAGTTGCTTTTTTGCAGTGTATTAATGTTTTTTTTTGTTGTTGTTGTTTTTTTACTTTTTCATTTTACCTTTAGCTCCCTGGAAGTGTCAAACAATCAGAAGGGGTGCATTCTTTCCATTCAATACCCTCAGAAGAGCGAAGGGAAGGAGCTGAAGATTTTGATTCAGCCTGAGACGCAGCACAGAGCACGATACCTCACGGAGGGAAGTAGGGGATCTGTCAAAGACCGTACCCAGCAAGGATTTCCTACAATCAAAGTAAGAATTGAATGCACATTATATTATCTGGACAAATATGCGTTTATGGATAATACAGTTTATGTGGTAACGTTTCTAAATGTGGTACATCAGTTAGAGGGAGTCAGTGAACCAGTGGTGCTCCAAGTGTTTGTGGCTAATGACGCTGGACGTGTGAAGCCTCATGGGTTTTATCAAGCCTGCAAAGTGACGGGGCGCAACACAACGGCCTGTAAGGAAGTGGATATCGAAGGGACCACAGTTATTGAAGTAAACCTTGAGCCGACCAACTCTATGACCCTAGCGTAAGGATCATTCTGTCTGTGGTTTCCAGTGGCAGTTATAGTCTCTTTTAGTTAATATGTATTGTTAAAGTATATTGTGATGTGTCTTGGCAGCGTGGACTGTGTTGGAATCTTGAAGCTGAGGAATGCCGATGTTGAAGCTCGTATAGGGGTTGCTGGCTCCAAAAAGAAGAGCACTCGAGCTCGTTTGGCCTTCAGAGTCAACATCCCAAGACCTGATGGATCTGTCCTAACCCTCCAGGCCCTCTCCTCTCCTATTTTATGTAGTAAGTGCAAAGGATATCGGGGTGCAGATTTGATATTAAGGGATATTATTTTCCACATTTGTGACTTATTCCTTGTCACATTTTCAGCTCAACCAGCTGGAGTGCCTGAAATCCTTAAGAAGAGTCTTCACAGTGGCTCTGTCGCAGGAGGAGAGGAAGTCTTTATCATTGGCAAGAACTTTCTCAAAGGAACCAAAGTTCTTTTTCAGGAAAATTCTACAGGTATTGCATGCATGATCATCTAATGCCTTTTACATCTAACAAGCACTATAATGCCCCACACATGGCAATGAGACATGAAATTTAGCTTGCGTAGCTAGTATGATAAACAGTCTCCTTTCTGTGTACAATATGTTTTGAACCCAAGTACATCCTTTTCCTTCGTTTTCCTTTCAGATGAAAGTGGCTGGCAGGCCGAAGCAGAAATTGACATGGAACTTTTTCATCAGGCAAGTGCAGGACATGGCTTTACTGTTTTTAGTTCTGTTGTGTAATACTTATCATTCATAAATATCTTGTCTAAAGCATCTTTTCAACATAATTCGATCCAGAATCATCTAGTGGTGAAGGTTCCCCCATATCATGACCAGACAGTGACCTCCGCAGTGTCCGTTGGGATTGCTGTAGTGACAAACGCAGGGAGAACACATGATCTACAGCCTTTTACCTACACTCCTCTAACAGGTTGGTGAAAAGATGATACATTTATGATATCAACAGATATCCAGCTCAAAAGTTAATGAGAAATATAGTGAATATGTGTTGACCGTAAGCAAAGTGTGTAATTTTCTTCTTTGGATAGTCTTAGACCAGTGGTTCCCAACCTTTTTTAACTCACCGCCCACACAAGCAAACACATATATTTCTGCGGCCCGCTACAAAAAAAAAATTTAAAATAAACAAAAATTTAATTAACCTATTTGTGTCGAGAAGGTAAAATCAAATTTTCACCAATTGTGTGTGAGGTTTTCCAGCCTTTTTCAATGAGCTTTGCAACACAATAAGGTGCCTCCACTCTTACCCCATGTCCTAACCAAACGCGACAAGATTCCAGCGACATGGAATTTGGCTGTCCACACCAGACGCGATGCAACAACGCGACGTGACAGAATCAATCAAATAACAGCCATTCAGAAGCGCAGATACTCACTGCACTCCCGATGAAATAGACAAGTTTGTAATCTAATTTATAAATATTAAACCTTTTTAACATTATTAAAAGTACATACTGAGTGACTGATACCTTCTTTGTTATGAAATACACTTGTTGGTTCGCATTGAGTTCACAGTTTTAACGTACATGTTTGCTTTAATTTATTTTTAAGATCTGAGGTAAACTATCTGTTGTTGTTTTCAGTATGAAAGTGAAGTGACGTGTGGCCAAGTATGATGACACATAATCGGAATTTGTGCTCTGCATTTAACCCATCCAAGTGCACACACACCGTAGTGAACACACACACCGTGAACACACACCCGGAGCAGTGGGCAGCAGCTGGGGGTTCGGTGCCTTGCTCAAGGTTCTCACCTCAGTCGTGGTATTGAGGGTGGAAGAGAGCGCTGTACATTCACTCCCCCTACTGACAATTCCTGCCGGACTCGAACCCGCAACCTTCAGGTTACAAGTCTGACTCTCTAACAATTAGGCCACGACTGCCATAAATGTCATGCAAAATTATATTCAAACTCACATTAGACACTTTTAACATTGACTAAAGCACAGTATCAGTACCTGAGATTATCATTGTTATAGTTTGTATGCTGTTGTTCCAGACGCGATGTCGCAGAAATAGAAACTGTTTCTAAAATAGAAATTTTGCCTGTCGCCAAGATGTCAAGATGCCAAGTGTCGAAAAGATAGCCTACCTTTTATCGCGTGTCGTGGCATCGCGTGTAGTTAGGACACGGTGTTACTGTTGTCGTTGCCAGGGAACGCAGTTTCAAGCATTTTTTCCTGCTTTGATACTCTTAAGTTTGTTCTCAAAAAACTCTGTAATCTTGGATGTAGGGCTGGGCGATATAGCTAAAAAATTTATCAACGATATAATGTTTCATATCGTTCGGTATCGATAATTATTGAAATTTTTTATGACCTTTTTTAAAACAGCAATAGAAATTGTTTTCTAATTTAACCACTGTATTTTTTTATTATTATTATTTATATTATTATGTTATTATTATAATAATATTATATTATTATTTATATTAATAATACTTAGCGGCCCCCCTGCAATACCGTTGCAGCCGAAAACCAGTCTTAGACGGTATCATATTTTATGGTTAGGGCCTTGAACAATAAATCAGTTGGGTGTAATTTTAGGGGTGGGGTTAGGGTTTTAGTGGTAGGGATAGTGTTTTCCCTATGGTTGTTTGATAATAATGTTTGGCAGCATGATTAGCAATGCATATTATTGGGTAAATTAAGCAAATTTACTTTGGTAAAGCAAGTATGAAATTGTGAATCTTAGTATAGCAAAGGCTTATCATGTGAATATTAATTTGGTCATGCTGACAGTGCTTTGTAACTGTCCTGAAGTGTCCGTTTGCATGGCATAGAATTGGTACATTTGCAATGTTCCGGTGACACCCTTTGGGACAGAGTATTATACAATTGCACTTCTGCACCAGCAGATGATGTCATCATTCATTATTTTAACTCTTTTCAAACAGAGAAGGTTGAAATACCAGTGAAATCAGAACTGCCAGTCACAGTCAAGGCTTGTACCTTTGAAGAGCAGATAAAAGGTGTGGCATTATCAAAATATTTACATGTTTTGCTGCCATTACACTTTTAATTTTTTGATAGACTCCTTAAAGCTTTAAAGTTTGAACTCATATATTTTATGACTTTGTTTACAGCAATGCAAACTGAGACCAGTTGTCTAAACAATGTCTTAATGTTACCTATGGTCAAACGAGAAGAACCTATGGAAGTTTCCTGTAATGCAGCACCTTCAGACATTTTTAAGGTACTGTCATCCTTTTGTAATTCAAGTTCCAGGTTTAACCTTGGAATCCTTTAGTTTAGGAATTAAACCCAAGCAAAGTATTGATTTTATGAATGGGGCATGAAAATTAACACATTTTCTCATTTTTTAAATGCAGCCTGTAGAGGCCCTTAGTTCAACCCAACAAATCTTGGAGATAAGTACTGTCCTTCCCTCTGCCACCAAGTCTTTTCCAAGTCCTGTGGCTCTTCAACCCGTTGACTCAAAACAGCCATCAGCTCAAATATTTACAACTCAAGAAACCTTATCCACCATACAGAAGCAGGACATACCTTCACCTGCATCGTTCCAAGTGTCCTTGTCGGAAGACACAACAGTTCTCCAGCCTGTTCCCCCTCAGGTCCCTCAGCAGTTCTTGCGGGAAACTCCAGAAACTTTGTCTCCAGAGGACAACAGTGCAGATGGAAGTGGAATGGTATTGGTGGGCATAGACTCTCGGAATCCTCCATCCCAGCGTCCACAAGTTCAGGCTCTTTTGCCCCAGGATGGTGTTGCACAGCTAGAGAGAGCGGTAAGAGAGCTGCAAGCACAACAACAGCTAAATTCTGTACTTTATAGCCCGACACCATCTGCAGAGAGCCTTCAGCAACACGTCCAGGAAAACATGAACAGTTTAAGGTTGGGTGGAAATGAGACAACTCTAACAAACCAGCTACAGCAGCAGCAAGAGCAGAATATATTGGAGAATCTGCATCATCAGCAACAGAAGGCACTTGTGGATCTACAACATCAACAGACAGTCCTTGAAAATTTGCAACAACATCAGAAGGTCTTGGAAAATCTCCAGCAACAGGCTCTTGGCAACATTCAGCAGCAGCAAACACACAAAGTTTTGGAGAATCTACAGCATCAACAGCAGCGCCAGAAAGTCATGGAAAACATTCAGCAACAAAGTTCTATAGTGACTCTGCAGCATCAAAAAGTTCTTGATAATCTTCAACAGCAGCAACAGCATCAGAAAAATTTAGAAACTCTTCAGCATCAGGAAGTAATAGAGAGCCTAAAGCAACAATTACAGTCAGAGCTCTTGCAGACACATATTCCAATGCAGTGCACGCCTAGCTTCTCTAATGAACAGCAAAGCTCCACACAGACTAATACTCTAGCGCAGCCCCCTGAAGGCTTCCTCCAGAACCCACCCCAGCAGCAGCAAACTACTCTTTTCCAACAGACAGGGGGTCTTATGTCCATTCAGACATCAAGCTTTCTGCAGCAGCCATCCTCTCAACCCTCACCTCCACAGCCTCTTTTTCAGAGTCATAACCCTTTGACTGAAACGCAAGACTCGCAGACAGTACTCTTTGGAACCACAAAGTCGACACAAGTCCAAGCAACCTTATTTCCTGGTACCATGACAATGCTAACAAGCACCAATCTGCCTACAGATCAGCAGGCTCCTTCAGCTAGCTTGTTTATTGCGCAGAGTGTGTTGCCTGGCCAGCTATCATCGGATAATAACCCGAACCAGCAGCAGCAACAGATAGCTTTCCTCACGCCCATGCAGACATCTGGAACAGAAGCTCAGACTGTCTCACTTTTTCAGGGACAAGCACAGTTGTCCACCCCAATGGAACAACAACAGTCTCCCCAACAACAACAGATGACAACACCCCAACAGGCCCCTCTTTTTCCAAATATTGCCACAATATCCCCAAATCAAACACAGCCACCAACACAGACAGGCATATTGTTCTGTACCACAACCATTAATCCCCATGATCTGCCCCAGGCTCTGCTATTCAGTGGCCAGAACCAAGCTTCACTAGCAAGTGACCGTCTCCCAGAGAATATCTTTCAGGAGCAGCAACCCATGCAAGTTGTTCCCAGCTCTGAAAACATTACTGTAAACAACCCTTCAAACCAACCCACCGCCTCCGCAGCCCAGCCAACTCCGAATCCACCAATTATTTTTCCACAAGCCAGTGTTGTGAGTGTTTCCCAACAAGACTCGGCAGAGCCCATGTCTTTTCAAGACCAGAGCGCCGTTGTGAGTGACTCGTCTGCCAGTATGCCTTCAACACGGACAGAACTTTTTCAGGACCAGCAACCTATGCAGGTTGTCCCCAGTGCCACCAGCGTAACCCCTGTCTCTCCTACAGACCAACCTTCTGTCAACATTTTTTTGCCTCAGTCAGCCATTTCAGCCCTGCAAGGTAGTGTAAGTGCTCAGGAGTTACCTACAACTGCCACAGCAGCCACCATCTTTAGTGGACAGAGTGGTGTGGCAGTGGGCGGTCTCCAGAACACCACATCTTCCGCCCCTCAGCAACCTCCCAGTCAACTCTTTCAGACAGCTATTGGGGGAACTCTCAGCCAACCTGGACAGCCAGGACAAGCAGGCCTTTTTCTTTTTGAGATTCCCAGTGGTAAGTGCAATTAAGTCAACATGAAATCAGAATTGCAATCATGCTCAAAAGATTCTTTGGAGCAGTGCTTCTAAAACCTGTCCTGGGGACCCCCAACACTACGCATTTTATATGTCTCCCTCAATGGACACAACTAATTTAAGTTTTGCAGTCTCCTTTAAATGAGCTGGTCGGTTGAATCAGGTGTTAGAAGAAGACAACAAAATGTTCAGTTGTGGGGGGTCCCCAGGACAGGTTTAAGAGGCACTGCTCTGGAAGGTGATCCTGGTCAAAAATGCTCTTTAGAAGTGGGTTTGTTCTTTCTGAGATTCCCAGTTGCAAGTGCTATTATGTCAACAACATTATGTCAGAATTGCAATCTTAGCAAATAACGGTAACATTGGTGCATGTGGAGATGCTCTGGAAGGTTATTCTGTCCTTGACCTTGTCCAGGGGTGTCCAAACTGTGTCCTGGAGGGCCACTGTCCTGCAGAGTTTAGCTCTATCTTAGCTCTAAATACTGCAGGACAGTGGCCCTTCAGGAGCAGGATAGAACATCATTGATCTAGTCCATGGGTAGGCAAGTTCTGTCCTAGGCCACATCCACACAAAGCCAGAGCTTTCCCTATCTGATCTTTTTTTTCCTCGTTCTTCCGTAAACACGGGGTCAACTCAAGAAATATCTGTGTACAAACGAAACATGCCGGGCCAGTATGTGGCGCTGTAATTCTGCCACAGAGATACACTAAAAATGTAGAAGAAGACTTGGATCATGCACATAAACCTTGCGCGCTGTATACAAACCCAACACAACAACAAAGACGAACATGGAACAATACACTTATTACTAGGGGTGTGCCAATCCGATATTCAGTATCGGTATCGGTATCACTCCGATACAGACATTTTCTGCAGGATCAGGGTATCGGCCAGACGAGGCCGATCCAAATCCAATATTCTGCATATACTATTCTGTTATTGTTAAGCCCCACGAAAGCCACAAAAAAACATTATAAAGCACAATAAAGTTTTTGCGCACTATATTTCAAGTGTTCTGAAGCCGTTCCATAGTTTAATGTGAGGTACAGATGAATATTTAAGTCGTTAAATTCAAGTTCTTATAAACTCTTCTCTCCGCTGCGGCTGTCTGTTATCCTCCATTCAGCATTCAAACTACATGTCGCATTCGGTTACTACAGTCAAAACGATGGAACTCTCCAAGATTATTAAATGTTCCTAATATTATACTTGATCTGTAAATAAAGATAAATTATTTTGCATAAAAGGACTATCTTGCTGGAGTTTCGTGCTGTTTCTAAATCATGTAAATTTCTACCGGGTAACTGTTTGATCGCAACAGGCGTTTACCCAGGGGGGGCGTGAGCATCAGTTAATTCAGAGACATTTCCTTGAGGATTTATGAATATGAGTTCCACTAGGGGGCAATCTGACTCCCACTGCTAGTCGACAGTTAGAGCAGAGTTGGCTCGAGTATCAGTCACGCTTATTGACAGTGTAAGATGATTTACGGTTAGCCGTGTCGGAAATCCAACCACGGATTGGCATGTTGTTATCTCAGAAACAGGCTCAGCCATCACATTGAATCAGGTAAACTGGTTATATATTTATGTTTCAGTATAATTACGCACGCTATACCAGGGGCGGTTCTAAACCCTTTTTAGGTGGGTTTCAGCCCCCCTATCTGTCACCTTAGCCCCCCCAAAACTATCTTAACGATCAGGCCAGTGCTGCTTCCTCAAGAAAGTTTTTCATTCTCACGTGTTTTAAGTCTTCTCAGTTTAAACATTAAAGTAGTTTTTAGCCATTTATGCCCAAGACATCTCAGTGCGGTACGCACGCGCTGTGATAAAGCTTTTCTATGCGCACCGCGCACACATCTGAAGTGCAAAAACAGATAGCCTTCTCAGACAGCAGGTGAATACCAATGGCTGTCTTGACAAGTATCCTTGTAAGCACAGTCGGTTGTTTTAAGTGAACGTAAACAGTAAAGAAAATATCAGATGTACATCAGTATAACGGATCCGTACATTTCTTGTATAAATGTTAATCAAAAAGAGCAATTTGCATTTGCTGCTTTAATAGCTTTAATGGATATTTGCGTTATGTTGATGTTAATAAAGTAATTCAGTGTGAATACAGTAATGGGGGGGGGCTGTTGGGGGGCGCGCGAGTGAAATTAGACAAACTTAAGGGGGGCGCATGTCCTAAAAGGTTGAAAACCCATGGTGTAGAGAGCACTATGAATTGTTCTTCACGAGCACAGTAACTGAAATTTAAATCTGTTAAAAGAAAAGGCTCAAACTAACGCAGCTTTAATACACTGCACATTATTATCGCTTCACTTTGTGCTTTGAACTTCTTCATGCGAAGCGCTGTGATTCCGTGTTGCTTCAAGCGCATCATTCTGCGCACGGGATGCGCATAAGCGCTTTGTGCCGGTCTGTATTGGAGCCTTTCGTATTATAATACTTTTGTGCAATGAAAGATTAATAATAGCCTTTTTTGTTCGTCTTATCTATCATATGTTGCTGCAACATTACTGTGCTATACATTTCAAATAAATTTCTTTTAATTTATAATATATTTATATATAAATATATTACTTGTTTTTCATGAATGTATTTTACAACAATACAAAGAGCAATGTGTATCATTTTACCAGATTTAGTCCTACACTTATTCACTTTTATTTGTTCCCCACTAAATAATGTATTTTTTCTTCACTCAAAGTTTAGATTTTATAAAATTAGATTTATAAATCTCATGATTTTCTTAGAGTAACTTTTCCTACCGAATTGTCCACTAACCTAGTTTATAATAGCATTTTTGTTATAGATTATGGTTATACATTTTTTTTGTTTGTTATTTTTCTTAATAATTAAGTTGTCTATAATTAGTAGATCGTGTGTAACACACAAAAGAGTGACGATCAGGTCAACACACATTAAGGTATAGAAATAATACATTGAGTTCGGTTTGGAACTGCACTGGTATCGGATCGATATCTGTATCGGCAGATACTCAGAATTTTTGGTATCGGATCGGGATCAGTTCTGAAAAAATGGTATCGATCCAGCCCTACTTATTACCCTATTTATTAATCTGTGTTAATGTTAGTTAATAAAAATACAGTTGTTGATTGTCTGATCATGGTGTTTGTTGTTGTTATGTGATGTAGTGGTGTCTGACTAGGGTCGAGACGTGGAGTGATGAAATCATCGTTTCCCAAAATATACGGATTGGCTGTACATACAAAAACGCAAGGGTGTCGTTTTCAGATTTATCCACTCTGGGCCCCGTTTAAAAATATAGCAGTTTCAGGCTCCCAAAACGCTGGATCCATATGGACAAAACGCAGATACAATACAAAATGTTTACGTATACAGCTAAACGCGTCTCCATGTGGACGGGCCCCTAGAGAGCCACAGTCCTGCAGAGTTCAGCTCCAATCCTAATCAAACACACCTGATCAAGCTAATCAGTGTCTTCAGGATTACTAAGGCTATAGGTAGGTGGGTTTTTTTAGGGTTGGAACTGAACTCTGCAGGACTGTGGCTCTCTAGAACCGAACTTGCCTACCCCTGATCTAGTCCCAGTCAAAAACTCTTGGATCTGGCATTGGAGTTGTCCTCCATTGTGGAATGCAAACATTTTATAATCAAGCAAATTCTTGGTGATCTGGGCCAGGGCTGGGCAACTCCGGTCCTGAAGTGCCACTGTCCTGCAGAGTTTAGCTCCAACCCTAATCAAACACACCTGAACAAGCTACTCAATGTCTTTAAGATCACTAGAAAGCTACAGGCAGGTGTGTTTGATTAGGGTTGGATCTAAACTCTGCAGGACAGTGGCCCTTCAGGACCTCAAGTTGCCTAGCCCTGGTCTAGGCTATTTTACATTTATTTCTCATGTAACAATGTGCACATCTTCAGATGTTGCATTAACTTTCGAAATTAGTCAGTGGCGATAGCCTTGTGGGTGGTATGCTGACATACTGCGCCGTTGCCCTACGGGCATCCCGAGTTCGAATCCCGACTTGAGAATTTTTCCTGATCCCACCCCCTATCTCTCTCCCACTTCGCTTTCTGTCAGTTCTGTTCTATCGTAATAAAGGGAAAAATGCAAAAAAATAGGCTAAATCTTAAAAAAAAAAAAAAAAAAAAAATTCTAAATTAGCCTAAATGCAGAGGGTGCCATTCTGAGCCTCAAAAAGCCTGTTCTCTCTTTTATTAGAATGTGGACCGCTAATGAATTCTCCTGGTCCGTCGTTGTCAGATCAGCTTGTCACCATGGGCCATCCCGGTTCGGATCAGACCCAGCTTCAAACTAGTGCACAGATTCACCCCTTACTGGACCAGTCCAACAACCTTGATGATAAGATAGACGAACTTCTGGAACGTTTTCAGGAGCAGGAAAAGACGCTTCCTAGGGATTTCTTGGACCATTAAAGATAAGTAGTCTGAAACCTCAATCCAGTAGACCCAACGTCCACACTGCTTGTTGATGTTTCTTTACATCTTGTGTCTTGTGTAGGTATTAACTAAACTTGGGGGTTGTCTCAGTTGGGGGGTCTTCACTTGTATCTATGTTTCTGAAAGCTTGTAATGTGTTGTTTTGGCGGGACATGTTACGTATGGATGTCGTCACAGCTCCTTTCTCTTGATGGACATGAAAGGGTCCACTTCACTGAGGCCACTGTTTGGCATGTCAACATATCATGTGACCCATTAAGCCATTAAGTATATTGGCACTTTGCATTGTGTTCTTGACTTCCACTTGAATCTTGTCCATTTATTGCCATCATTCATCTGTTTTCCAGTAGAAACCAACCTAGTACAACATAAATTCAAAAGCTCTCTGTTGCCGTTGAGATACTAATACATTGTGAATGAATTTGAAATATTTAGCACTTTAGGGAGTTCCTACTGGAGATTCTCCCTTTTAGCTTTGTAACCCATGTGTGTCTACCTGGCTGTCAAAGCGTTTCATGTTTTGATAGTCATAATGCTTTTCTAAAAATGTGTTTGTGTTTCATTACTCTTTAGTGTCTCCTTTCAGAATATAGCCTATTTTATGAGCCATGTTTAATGTTTTAAGTGTTTGAATGTTTGACATGTCCATCTAATCTCTCCATTTTCACATAACATTTAAAGTCAAGATGCTCTATGTAAATCACTCCTCTCCTTCTCCTCTGTTTTAGGTTTATTTAATTTTATTTAAATGATCAAGAGGTCCAACTTGTAGACATGAATTCCTATCAGGGATGTGAAAATGTGCAACATTGCCATTGAGATATGTGAACAGATTGTATTATCATCCACCAGAGCGTCTACAATGTGTTTGTTTATGTGCTCCGCAGAAAGACGTGGAGCACATTTGTACTATATAAGATGCAGCTATGTTCTTGATTTTGAATTATATGTGGTTCATGGTGATTATTCAAATAAGCACAAGCTTGGGAAGAGGATTTGTTGCGGTGGTGCATGCAAGGGATAGTTCACCCAAATATGAAAATCAATTTTTACTCATCTCTATGCCGTTCCAAACTGGTATGACCTTCTTTCATCTGTGGTGCTCAAAAAACATAAATTGAGGGTATTTTGCTTTATGAGGAATGCAGGAATGAGATCTGAGAGCTATCATGGAAATTTTTGGTCTGTTCCTCACACACGGCATCTGAAAACTTGGAATATTGTGCACTTGCTTTTTTATGAGTTAGGTTTAGGTCATTGAATGCTTGTGTTGCAAAGGCACTGAAAACATTCTTCAGAATTGTGCCTTTTGTGTTTCACAGACGAAAGGCGGTCATACAGATTCTGAATGGAATGACAGGAGTGTGTGAGAAAAATAATGATAGGATATTTATTGCTGATGTGAACTATCACAGCTATGGGGGTGTTTTTTGGGCAGCTTAAAATGGAAGTTAGGTCCACATTTCCTTGAGGTTTTAAGAAGGGATTGGTTTGTATTCAAGTTTTAAAACAAGCTATGATGACGAGATGGCTTCATAACATCACTGCACGACAATCTCATCATACAAGTTTTAAAATTGATCTTTTGGAAAATATGAAAGCTCTTACTAATCAGAAATCATTAGTCATGTGTCCTAACTGGAAGATTTCTCTACAAGTAGTGTAGTGTACGCTGGTAAATTAACTCGTACAGGGTTTGATATTGACAGAATGCTGCTACATTTTGTCATAACTGATACTAATTGGTTATTTACATCAGCCTTGACTTTTTTTAAATGGTTTGTAATGAGCTGTTAATTATTTGCGTTATGACATTTAAGCGTTTTTTTTCTCATTTCTTTCGAAAGTCATTGTCACACCCTCACTGAGGAGATCTTTTTGTTGTAGGACATTGCTCTATTTTATTAAATCACATTTATTTGACATTTTACTTGTTCACCGACACATGCAGTCTTTTAAAACGCTTTTTTAAGACTTAACATCAATGTACTCTATTCTAAGAAGCAGCTTTTGCATTGACAATATTCTCATGCAAACATAATGTGAGGTAGTTCTATTTAAAATCTGCATACACATCTTTGCTTTGATAAGTCAGTTATTTTTACATCGTACTTACCTTTTCTTGCCTTTATATTCTTTTTTTGAATGCTTTATGTAAAATCTGCGTAATTACTGTTGTAAATAGTAGATCGTCTGTTTTAAGCGTGCTGTTCCTTTGTGAGGTAGCAGTTTGTTAAAAGCGTGCTCTCTTTGTAGTAAAACATAATATCTCACCTGCAAGTGAGGCATACATACAGTATTTTTGTAAAACTGAATTTCGAAAATGTACTATGTACATTTTAAACATTTTAAAAGTGAATTGTCCCTTCTGCAGTACTGTACTTCATGTGTCAATATTCAGAGCGGTGGAATGATGGTTTTTGTCCCCATCACTGTGTTACAAAATGGAGATTGTTGTTTGTTTGGTATAAGTGAAATTCAAATATTGTCGATTTCTAAACCATTAAAAAAAGACTGGTTTTGGGTGTGGGTGAATCTCACACAGACTCATCTTTTGCCATATTTCACCCCAAAATACATAGATTTAATAAAAGTTATAGATCTCTGTAGCCTGTTAAATCTATGAATAAATCTTGTTTTTGAAAAACGAAAAAAAAAAAAAATATTAATTTAAATAAAGTACAATTTTACACACTACTGGTACTATTTGTTTTACTGAATTGAATTGACGCTTGCTTAAAATGATTGGTTTTCATGGCTGTTCGTTTTTTTTTTTTTTTCTCTCTCTTTTGTTAAATTATAGATATGAAAAGTTGATTTTTTTGTGGGGGGGGTGAAATATGACCTGGATATTTCTTTGTGAGATATATAGGCTAATGTTCTGGAGCCTGGGTTCCATGCAAAGCCATAAAAAAATCAAACTCTGGAATCAGAGTGGAAGAATGTGTGTGTTTCGCCTCGTGGTGTAGGATTCACACTACATCTAACCTAAGGACCAATTAAGAAGAACAAATATTTTCTCAAATGAAGGCAGCAGAATCAATGTCTTTTGATTAAATAGTCATTTGTTCATTCTTGTGTTTTTTGGTACTGATGCTTCAGCTTGCGTCAAAATCATACTGTATGTATTATGAACAAAAATATATTTCTGCACAAATCCATCATTAACATTTTTTTTTCATATTGTGCTTTTTGATTGAAAGTACTTTGTGCCTTTGCAAGCCTTTCCTCTTATTTCTGAAGGACCTTTGTATATAATTAAATACTTAGATGTTGGGATTACTAGTTCTTAATCCAGAAGTAAAAGACTACATTTTTATTGACATTGTTTTGTCTGGTCAAATTGTCATTAACCAGTCTGTCGGTGTGGTCTCAAATACATCTGAACATTTATATCATGACACTGCTATGCAGCCTCAACTCACTTTTTTTTTTGTTGCTTTATTTCAAATGTCATCATTCTCATCCACTGGTGGTTATTGGCTCTTGAAATTTGTTAGATCAAGGTGTAAGGTTAAAGAAGGTTATTGATCTCAGTGATAACTGATTTTTTTCTGTTTGTTTGGCCAGCAGGTGTTCGAAGAATTTTTGTTAGTTGGTTTGAAGAGCGCTTAACCCAATCACCAGCAGTTATTTGTGCTTTTATTTGATGTGAAAGGTGTATTTTAAATGCACTCTTTTTACACATTTTTTGAATTTTGTTTGCTTTTGTTTGATGTGATTAACGTCCAATGCTTTTGAAGTTGTCACAGGACAGTGGTTCTCGACCCCCTTTAAACTAGTGTCAGTAGATTAAAATAAGTAAGTTTTTAATTTAATTATTTCACATTTTTCAAGAACTGTATATGCTAACAAGTTATAAATGGGATAACTTTATAATTGGTCTTAGCTCGGGACACACAGGACCAAATTTCTACATTGCAATTGGGAGTTCAAGTGCTGCATTTTCTACCAGAGTGAAAAATAGGGATGTGAATTGGCACTTTGCATGTGTCTATTTAAATTATTTACATTTATTATAACTTTTTAATGTTTTAAATAAATCGTTTATGAGCCCATCTGGAAGTTTTTGTCGCCCCCTAGTTGGCCCCTGGTTGAGAACCACTGTTATAGGGATAACCGTTCACTCATGAGTGTGTAAGAATGACATTCAGTATCGTGAAGAAACGTGAACTAATGACATTTGACGTAAATAAACGTATTTTGCTTTAATCAGTACATTTGTATACTCCTGCAGTTATATTTCTGTAAGATGTGCTGCTATATGAATAAAGATAGATATGAAGTTCTGTCCCCTGTGTCTTGTATCTTTTATTTATATACACACACACACACACACTATGTGTATATATGCACACGTATATGTATATATGGGTGTTTCTGCAACTACGGGCACTTTTAAGTCCCAGCAGTGAAATTTTAGGTTTATGTTAAAATTAGTCATATGATGCTTTATAAATATATTCACAGTGTCATTACACACCTTGACAAAAATATAATTAATGATTAATGATGTGATTTAATATAAAATTATGAAGCATTTATAGGTCCAAACACCATTTTTGTTCATGTCCCACAACTCTGGTCACAATGTTGAGATACATAAAATAAGCTAATTGAATTACAATTTGACATGATTTCAAATACATACATATTCATTTATCGAATTTTTTTTACTGATTTATTGATCATTTTTATTATTTCTTTTAATTAAATGTGCCTGTCCGCAACAATGAAAAAAGGCTTTTATTATGACATTTTTATCAAAGACAAACGAGAAACATAAATTAGGAAGTGAGCACATTGCTGACAGATTGGGCCACCTCACTACCTCACTCACAAGATCCCAAAACTATAAGGTAAATATAATCTTTTCTGTGTCAGTATTGTGTGTCCTTACCATACAGCTTAGTAATTCTGTACTTTGAACTACATTTTAAAAATAAATGTATATTACTGTTTAATTCATGAATATTAAGATGCTAAGAATCAAAACTAATGTAGTAGACCTTATTAGCTGCAATATTAGCAAAAATGTCATTTCCACAACATGTCTTTACCGCAGCAAATTTAGGTGTTGCGGTAGAGACAAGCTCAAGGTGTACTGTATATTAAATTACAAATATTCAGTCTATATGTTTTCTGTTTCTGTTACTGTTGTTCTGTAGTAGCCTGTTTTTGATTTCATGGCACTTTAACACTGTGTCCTTACCGACACAAGATGTCATTACCGCAGCTCTGCTTTATTTTATTTTTTCATATTTTTATTTGCCAAAAAAAAATAAATTTTAACACTTAAGTTGAGATGATTTACACATTGAAATTGCAACATCTGTCATAAAAAGCTAAATATGTATGTCTTTAGTGTGTATGGAAACAATTGACATCTGGTCACTGTCTAAATTTTACATGGCATAGAGAAAACAATGAAATCCCCTATTTTGTGTATTATTTTCTAATATCAGTATTTACAAAACTGCACAAAATTTGAAAAAGCTATTGAAATATATTACATTTTTATAGAAATTAAAAAAGAAAAATGTATATAACGAACATTATTGTTACGTTGCGGTAAGGGCGTTTTGAAAGCTATTGAAATATATTACATTCTTATAGAAATTAAAAAAGAAAAAATGTATATAATGAATGCTATTGTAAGGACATTTTGTAAGAAGAAGAGTTGAAAAACATGTTCCAGATGAAAATCTTAATGACCTTTTTATATGTATTACAGACTCTGATGGTTAAAATTAAAATTCACAGAGGTTGATATTTTTTTCAATTTTGGAGAGTCAAAAGTGCCCGTAGTTGCAGAAACATCAGCCTGTGGCACTGCTCAGGTGTAATGGAAGCCCAGGTTGCTTTGATAGCGCGGTTATCCCCTTTGCTGGTGCACCTTTTCCTACACTTTTCCCTTCCACTCAACTTTCTATGAATATGCTTGGATACAGCACTCTGTGAACAACCAGCTTCTTTAGCAATGAACTTTTGTGGCTTACCCTCCTTGTGGAGGGTGTCAGTGACTGTCTTCTGGACATCTGTCAAGTCAGCAGTCTTCCCCATGATTGTGTAGCCTACTGACCCAGACTGAGAGACCATTTAAAGGCTCAGGAAACCTTTGCAGGTGTTTTGAGGTAATTAGCAGATTAGGGTGTGACACCGTGACTTTCCAATATTGAACTTTTTCACAATATTCTAATTTTCTGAGACACTGAATTTGGGGTTTTCATTATCTGTAAGCCATAATCATCAAAATTTCAAGAAATAAAGGCTTGAAATATTTCACTCTATGTGTAATGAATCTATATAATATATGGGTTTCACTTTCTGAAATGAGTGACAAAAAAATATTGACATTTTTCATGATATTCTAATTTTTTGAGATGTACCTGTATATATATATAATGTGTGTGTGTATATATATATCTATATTTGCCAGTGAGACAGAGTCCTATCAGTCAGTCCACACTCTACTGCCTTTTGATATGCCCTGTC